TTTTTTTTTTTTTTTTTTTTTGTCTTTTTTCCGTGTCCAGCAACGGATTGCAACCCTCAGTGTTGCCCCCGTACCGGACCGGGACCGGCAACGGGATCGCAACCCTCGGCGTTGCCCCCGCGCCTTGCTCAGCCAGTGAGTGGGAACCGGTCTGTATGTGGGATCCGAACCCTCGGCGGGAGCGCCTCCGCACTTCCCAAGCAGCGCACTAGCGCAGTGCGCCACCGGGCCGGCCCGCATGTTGCCAATTTTAAAATCAGGCAGAACAGAATCCTTTTCTGAATTCCCAGTTTTTTGCATGCATAAGGGAGGTCTGAATAAGAAAACGTGAATAAAATTTCATGAAATAGCCCCTGCCATTTTGTGAAATAAACACTCTATTCCCTTGCCTGGGCAAATCTTTCCTGATGCTACCTATCGGCTTTTGTTTCCTTGGCCTAAAAAGACACTTCAGACTCTGCCTTTAATTATGATAAGGCTTGACTATGAATCTCTCGAGAAATAAGCTTGTTTTTGCTGGGAGGGAAGGTAAAATAACATTTAAATAGGTTTTAGAAATAAGAATCGAATCTCAGAAGACACACTATTGTAGAACACACTGTATATCAAAATATATAAGTACGTAGCTGTAACAGTGACTTAGTAAACACATTGCTGAGTGAACTATGAAAAATAATCCACCAAGGTGCTATTTCTCTTACTTCTAAGCAATGAGTTAGAAAGTATTGCCATGAAATAGATATGAACTATTTAAAAATATTTGTGTGTTTTTTTAAGAATATTGCCTTCAGGCCCAATAGACTATTCTTTTTTTCTCATGCTAGAAAAAATACACTGTAAGGAATTTAGCTAAGTGGTATATTAAGTGAGAGTATAAAATACTTTCAGGAGATAACAATTCTGAGTAAAGAAATGTCTTTAGTAATTTGATTCTGAATGTGATATATATTAACTTTATAAAATAGAATCAAAAGAGGTTCAATTTAGTCTTTTCAATCTATTATGTAATTTAGCATTTCACACCCATAGTATTTGCACTGGCATCTTTATTATAATGAGCCTAAAACTGTAGGTAAAATAAGTATGTTAATATAAGTACATGAATTCCCGTCTTCTAGTAAGTGATCTTTCTCTGGACAACATGACTTATCCAGGTTAAGAGACTACTTCTGTGGAAGAGCAACTTTCTCAAAAACCATTCTTTGCATGAGGTTTTGCATTAAACTCCTAGAAACCCTGTTCAAAAATTATAGAATAGCAGGTGTTCCTGAGCATGCATCCCTCTATTGCTTTTGCTAAAATATTTAGATCTAAATTAAAGTAAATTGGCTTTTCAAAGCATATTTCAACTCAGGTTTGTTGTCTTTTAATTCCATGTTAAAAAAAATTTGATGAGATATGATGAGAACAGGAGAGAGAAGATAAGAAAATTTATTATTCACATCAGAGCATTTCAAAACATTTCCTATTTAAAGCCATTAAATAATTCCCCAAATTTGAACCTATGGTGTAAGACTCTTTTCATAGTTTAATTCCAGTAACGTAAATGGTGCCTATATGGAAAGATTTCACAGCAATGTTTCTTATGAATAGAATTTCAGTAGCTTCTCCTTTAAAAAAAATGCAAGGGATAAAGCAGATGAATCATGCCAGTCTCTCAGAATGAAAAAAACTGAGAAAATGCACATTCACATGCCCACCCTATCACGGTATAGTTTGGCTGTGTGATGGTTATCACTGAATGATTATAACACACAATTTTACATGGGAGAGAAAAAGAAAAGACGTATAGATAGATGTTTTCCCACTAGAAGCAAACCTGTCACAAAAATTCTGGCATATATTTCCAAATAGATAAAAAGGTAATTTTTCACTCTGAAAAAGAATCCTTCACTTTGAAAATGATTCACTACAGGTTTCCTCTAAATAGTAAGCTCATTTCATACATTTACAATATGGCTTGATTTTCAAACATCAATTTACATGCACTTTCCAGCAACAAATCTATTGTGCAAAGTGATGCTTAGTTGTACAGTATAAAAAAGCTAAAGTATTTTTTTTAAATTGGAGTCTATGGTTTATAGAGTTTGCTCATCATTAATATTAATTATTTATAGTCCAGCAGCTTTTGCTAGCACAAGTAGAGATGGAGATGCCACAGGCTGCCTCAGAGGTAGTTCCATAATGCTCATTCATAATTAGCGAAATGCCGTATTTCAGCAGCAGTCAATCAAACACAGCCTTGTTCTTGTTCTCATGGGAACCTAATCCTTCAGTCCCTTCTTTCCCCTTAAGTTTGCCGGGTTCATGGACACATTCCATGAGCTGAAAATCTAACAATAAATTAGTGAGAAAATCAGAGCAGTTTTTATGACTAACATTTGAAATGGAATGTAATCCTTGGTGTGTGGAATATTCACAGCCAGCATGAAATAGACAGATCAGAAACTGGAGGTGTGGTGTAGCGTCTCTCTGAACACGAATTCTCTAAAGAACCTTGCTTGGCAACCCAGGTGGACAGGTTACCTGAAGTCATCGTTTTGAATAGAGCAAAATGCCATTGAAAAAAAGGGCCAGGGTTGAGGTGTGCAGAATCATTTGAGATCTGTGCACCCAGGAACTATATCTCGAATGCAGAAGACATACCTTTCTGCTTTGACCAAAATATTTTAAATAAAGTGCTGGCTGGCTTTGCTTTTTGAAATAAATGTGTTTAATCTAAGTCAAGGAGTGGGTCAAACCACACAAGAATATTTACAGCAGTATGGAGATTGATGTTATGTGGATTCTCTTCTCTTTTAAGAAACTTTCTTGGGGAAATTCATCTCTTTCTGCATGAAAACAAATAGCCCCTAAAATAATCCAAGCATTTAAGGCCATCACCCCCAAAACTTGGCTAAACACATGTTTGAACTTTCCTATGGAATTCAGCTTTAGCAGTTTTGCCAGAAGTATTTCTGAACTGATTATACAGGGTTAATCGTGAGCTCTTTATTTATAGAACACTAATTTCAGTCTTTTTGTTAGTGTAGTTGTCTCAGATAATTTTTGAGAACAAATTGAACTTCTCAACTTTAAAAAGAAAAGATCCATTTCTGTGTTCATTTGTGGCCACCGAGCAGGTCAGCGGGAGAGTACATATCACTGGGTGATTATTTCAAGAATTTAAGTATATTGACTCTAATCTCCTAGTTGAAAATCAAATTTTTCCTGTGCTTTAAAAAAAATTCCTTATTAGTATCAAACAACTTTCCTTGGAAGCTTTGGGATGTATGGTCTTTTTTATGCCATGCAAGTGATGTGAATATTTGAGGCAAACAAAATCAGAGGGAAAGAAAATAACCTCATCTTTCTGTTAATTATGTGGATGCCTAAGGCAAAATTATTTCAGATATGAAATATCTAGATTCACTTTCCCTAAATGCTTTACCATGAAGTAGTTACCATGAAATATTAATTGGTATTCAGAAA